GAAATTGGATACATTTTTGCAAACTGTGATTATTTATTATTATTAAAATCCTGTATTGCAAATCATCGACAAAAAAATGCTTGTCTTTTAGTATCTTACAATAAAACATCTTAACTGTCGCACCAATTTAGATTCCCAATTTTAATTACGTAGCTAAATGCCGTGGTCTACAAAATTTGACCCGCATTATACAATAGTTACGTAATTTTTGGCCGGAATTAGGGTTCCAACTTTTTATTACAAAAATAGAAATTTTTAGGCTCCACTATGGTAAAATTAGTTCAGGACTTAATGGGCAGATGTGATTTCATTGGTAAAATTTCGGCCTAAACTTTTGATCATCGCTCTTAGCCAATCAAAATCGAGAATCTGCTGTGACGAACAGCTAGGTATTCCTTGCAATAATTCTGTAATTTGTGCACTTCATGCTGAATTAAAGAATAATTATGATTTATCGGCCAGGAAATAAAAAATTTGGTATCGGTTAGCCCTTGGAACTACGCTTTAATAACGTGCATATATGTATAATAAGAAAAACTGCATTTATAGAGGTCAAGTATATACAGTCAACTCTCTCTAAGTGCAATTCATCGGGACCGGACTTTTAGCAACTTGCATTTAGAGAACAATTAAGAAAATTGCATTTATAGAGACAAACCGTATACCAAACATATACTTGGGCCCGAAGTTAAAATTGCACTTAGAGGGTTTGCAATTAGAGAGAGTTGACTGTATTTGGGCTAGCATTTAGAGAGGGTGTGCACTTATAGGGGTACACTTAGAGAAGCCTGACTGTACCAAACATAAACTTGGGCTCGAATTTAAAGTTGCAGTTAAACAGAAGTTGCACTTAGAGGGGTTGCACTTAGAGAGAGTTGACTGTAAATCAAATAAAGTAAAAAAAAAACATAAATCCAGAAATTATGTATGATGCCAAGAAAAACCTACACGTTCTTAGTCAATCAATAAGAAATTTTATTCAAAATAATTATTCATAAGATATTTTAAATTAAAATTTCAACCTATATATAATTGACATTTTATTGCTTTTAAACCATAAAACATGGCGGGTAAGTTGCTTGAATTTACAATTGCTAGTTACTGTATGAATTTAAAAAAAAACAAATAAAATTTTTGATAATGTATATAAAATAGACATTGTCTATAAATTTTTGTAGAAAATTATTGTAAATAATAGACAACTAGCAAATTAAAAAGTTAACAGCATTTTTTTTTAGTAAAAAACAATTGCATATTCAATTCATCTGATTTAATCAGAACGTTAAATATTCGGAGTTATTCGTTTAAATTATGACAAATTGGTCGTCCAAATTATCTAATTAATTAGAGATATTTATTTAGTTGGTTTAAATTTTTATTTAATAATTCACAAAATATAAAATTTAGCTTACCACTAGACCCAATAAGCCGGTTTAGGTTCGATTCTATTATAATTTTAAATTATTAATAAGTTATGTTTTTCATTTAGAACTTATACAAAAGGTTTTAAACACCAATTTCATTATGTAAAAAACGCAAACATTATTATTTTAACTATAAAATTTTATAATTAATAGTTTCTTATATATTAATAAAGCGTTAACAAATTTATTTAATGGATGGAAAAGTTTGAAGTCTATATCATATATAAACAAAATTGTTGTTTAAAACCTTTAATTAATTTAAATTTATAATAGATAATTAATAAGTAATTAAACTTATTTTACCTGTAAGTTGCGACCTTTGTTGTGAATTTGATAATGCGAAAGTAATTTTATCAATTTTAGTCTCAAATAGATCTTTATTTAGTTCTTCCAGATTTTTATCCGCTTTTGAAAAAGCATCTCTAATCTCAATCTGTTCTTCATTTAGTTCTTCAATATTTTTATCAAGAATTATTTCCCAATCTTGTAACTTTTTATAAACATCTGCTGCAGTCGGTCTTTTATCGGGGTCTCCATCCATACATTGATATGCGAGTTTTTTATAAAAATCAGGTGTTTCTCGGCCAAATTCAGGACGTGAGCCACTAATTATTTCCAGCAAAAAAATGGAATCGAATTGCCTATTTATAAAAGGCGGTTGACCAGTTGATACCTCTGACATTATTACACCCAAACCGAAGCTTTAATGTATGGCTTCTTCAATAAAACTTCAGGCGCTAAATAGGGGAATAACCCATACTCTTGTATGTCATGTTTTTTTTCTTCGATGGACAATCCTAAATCAGATACTTTTGGTTCTATTGTCTCTAATACACCTCCAACTTTCACCTGAATCATTATTAACGTGCCATTTAAATCAAAAGCATGAGGAATAAAATCCTCAGTATTAAACATAAGTATATTACCGCTGTGAAGATCTCTATGAATGTATTTCTGGTGAATGTAATCCAAATTGTCCGATATTGAACGAAGAATCTTAATTTTTTGTTTCCATGTAAGGGATTTAAAATTAGTTTGAAGATAATGTCGAAGATCTCCTTTATCAGCAAATTCAAAAACCATCATATATTGATTTTCTGTTGGATTATACGTCATCCCATATCTTTCAACGCTATATCTTCTAAGTTGGCATTCATAATGTGCTTTAAACTTGAATATAAGTAAGATATTAGTCATATAAATAAAATAAATAAATAAAATAGCAAGATAATTTCTTTTTACCTCGTTTAAGCAATCAATTTTTTGTTATCCATTTAAACTTTTGAGTGCAACTTTACATTATTTTTTTGTTCATATCATTAAGATCATAAATTCGCCTACCATCAATCCAAATTGCAGAATAAACTGCGGAAAAACCACCTTCACCTATTTTTTGAACATTTTCCAATCTATCAAAAGGTATCCATTCGATTACTTTGTTATAATATTCGGATTCATTTTGTGCTTTTCTAATATAATCATCAATTTCTTTAACTCCACTAGTCCAATCATGATTTATTCGAGTGTCACACGAATGGCAAAATTGAAAACCAATATTATATTGTTTGCGATTTGAACAAGTTCCAAACCTAATGCGAGTTTTTTCATAATTCGATTTAATTTCAAAAGCTCTATTCAATCTACCAATATATTGATAAACTAATCCACGATTAGCTAATATCGTAGAATTAGAATTTATTTCTAATGCTCTATTTAGATCGGCGAGTGATTCATTATATCTTCTCATATTGAGATAAGTCGATCCACGATTAGCTAACGCCTTTGCATAATTAGGATTTATTTCTAATGATTTATTTAAATCCACGAGTGATTTATCATACCTGCCCATTAGTCGATAAATATTTCCACGATTATTTAATGCAGTTATATTATTTGGATTAATCTTTAGTGAATTATTTAAATCAAATAAAGAACCTTGATATCTTCCAACATTATAATAAATAAATCCGCGGTTACTTAATACATTTGCATTATTTGGCTCAATCTCTAATGATTTGTTTAAATCTGCAAGTGATTCTTCATATCTACCCATTTCTCTATAAATGTCACCACGATGGCTCAAATGCTGATGCATAATTTGGTATGATTTATTTAAATTAGTAAGGGATTCATCATATTTTCCCATTTGCGCATAAGTTAATCCACGATTATTTAATGCTATTGCATCATTTGGCTCGATCTC